GGCCCAAAACTTCCTGAACTCAGAAAAGCGACACTAAGATATCCGGTACCTAATAGAACGATGGCGAGGCAGGGCGGTCAAAGAAGACAAACACGCGAGAGATCACGCCGTTCGAGAGAGCACGCCGATATCGAGGTGGGTGGGAAGCGTTGCAACGGGGTCGATGGTTGCAGGCCCGTAAGGATTAGCGCCCTAACCGCGCAATTTTTGCGGCGAAGCTGGAGTGATCTAGGTAGGTAGGACCTTACAATTTCCCTCGCGGTATCCTTCCCACAAGTCGGGCTAATCCCGGGGTTTGCCTTTGATCGCTCGCCGCAGGTCTATACGCAGCGAGTGATTAGATAGCAGAGAGAGTTAGTGTTGAAGAGGGCACAGCGATGAGAGTCGCATCAATGCAAATCAACGGGCAAGGAAGGGGTCCCATTTCTCGGGTTCCGGGCCGTTTCTCATGGTTTCTTCTTCATCCCTGCTCCACTGACCACCTCTACCCTTATTTCCAATAAGCTACTCCATCTTTCAAATGAGTAATTGCATACACCTGCTACAGTACATTGCCTCGTAGACCGTGGGATAGGCCTATGGCTTGATATGACAGCTAACACCTGGCGGAACTGTAAAAAATCTTTTCAAACATCGCGACCTCCATATCAGTCTGCGCTTTAACTTTTGAGTTGCCACCTTAGGACAACTCCCCCTGATGAAAGCGGAATTATTTCAGAGTGTAGAATATATTTTTCTCGAAGCTCGACCTCCAATTAGTTCAGGCAGAAATGCACATTGTTGCGAGACATAAATAAGTATAGATGCAGAACCCATTCATCCTCAACATTTGCGGCACCAAGTCGATTTCATAGAGATGTAGGCTTGCCTTTACGGGAATCCGCTAGTCCTGTGTGTTATAGCAGCGCCTATTTACACTGCGACTGTTTCACTCCTGCTTCTCGTTTATCTTTTTTTAAAAAGGCTCGACGTGGGTCTCTCTAGCGTACAGATATATTGAATATTGATGGTTAAATGTCAGATCAATGTGTCGAGCATTCGATTCTTGGTATTGGACGAGGCTGACATGCTACTGGAAGACGGTCGCGAGAGTCATCTTAGCGCAATTTTATCAGACCCCAATTTTCCCAAGGTTGTTTTTACAGCACAGATTTTCCGCTTTTGCGATGTTTTTCTTGGTCATCTTCACTTCGACTGAACACATTGCTATTGACAGTCTTTTGAGCTTCTTTTTGAGCATTTTTTTTCAGCCGGAATCTCGGCAGACGCTATTGTTCAGTGCAACTTTTCCTGCTGATGTTGAGCGATTCGCTGGCAAGGTCTTAAGGAATAAGTACGTGACACGGTGAAGTGTTGGTGATGTTGCATTCCTTGTCCTAAGTATTGAAAATTCAGGTACGTAATAGTTCGAAGTAGTCAACGAGGAAAAGCCAATGTCCGTGTGAAGCAGCTTTTTGTACAAGCAGACGGTACAAGCGGAAAGAACGACAAGCTATTCGAGATTTTGGAAGCACAGAGGGACAAAACCACAGACGGTAACGCGGACCATGCACTTAACTAATTTCCATTTTCTTTCTATGGAAAAGCAGTTTTTATTCTTTTGCAAGATTGTTTTTTCGATTTTGACACCAGCACAATTTTTCATTTATGGACGTGGGTGGAGTGGATCGGTCTTAAAAGGGTTGACATTAATTTTACGATCCTCATACTGGGCCCGTTCATGCTGCTGAACTCGTCTACCCCTTGTGGGTCGACTGACTGGTACTAAAGACCTGGCAGGATTTGTAATTTACCATAGGTTAGACCTTACCAGGAATGCTTTGAAGATTCCCATGGAACTTTGGAAGGAGAGATGATCGATAGAGTCTTGAACGCTGATTACAAATATGGACACTAAAACTGCTACGTGAACTTTCTAAGAAAGTTATGAGCCTTCAAAGTTGGCAAAAAACGTTACTGAGGCGAGCTTACCTGGTGGAATCACAGTCGCCGTGGCGCCAAAAACGAGTCTCATATTCGTAATCAGGGCACCCATTTACCCTTATAGAAGTTCCAGGCAAAAAGCAACCGTGTTTCCACATAGGTTGCACCTCATCATTAGCGTTCTTTTGCAACTTTTAAGGCTCACAACTTTCTTACAAAGTTCACGTAGCAGTTTTAGTGTCCATATTTGTAATCAGCGTCCAAGACTCTATCGATGTACCTAGGTCTCCTTTCAAAGTTCCATGTAAAGCTCAAAACATTCCTTGGTTAGTTGAATATATAAAGGTGGATATGTATTGGATCACGTGTGCTTTAACAAAGAGAGGATGGAGTTTGACATATTCTATTGAAAGATCTTCTTCCACTCGTTCGCTCCTTTTTTCAGATTTTTGTTTGTTGCTTACGCACTTTTCCAATTTTTCGAAATTTCTCACAATTTACATATTTCCGGATAGAGCACCATGAAGGGTTCTTTCATGCTTTCACCCTAGCTACAAAAGTCGCAGCGCAGGGTCGGGCGTTCTTTGCAAGAACTTTCCAGTCAGTCATTCTTTCTAGACGGTTCCCCGATGAGGACGTTGGTTTTCGTTGGAACCAAGAAGCAGGCTGATTTCTTGGCGCTCATGCTCAGTGAGAAAGACATTGCCGCCGCGAGTATAAACGGGTATGTTTTTCTTCCATAAGATCTTTGTCTTGAGATATATACTGGCATTTTTCAACTTCCACCTGGACATCTGCATCATGTGCACCTAAATTTCACGGTGATTTGTTGAATGCCACGATAGTTTGGTTCTGTGTGGCTGTGGTGCTGCACCGTCCCTCTAAATTTACGCTTGTCATTTTTTCATGCTTTCACCCTAGCTACAAAAGTCGCAGCGCAGGGTCGGGCGTTCTTTGCAAGAACTTTCCAGTCAGTCATTCTTTCTAGACGGTTCCCCGATGAGGACGTTGGTTTTCGTTGGAACCAAGAAGCAGGCTGATTTCTTGGCGCTCATGCTCAGTGAGAAAGACATTGCCGCCGCGAGTATAAACGGGTATGTTTTTCTTCCATAAGATCTTTGTCTTGAGATGTAGATGATAGATTGGCATTTTTCAACTTCCACCTGGACATCTGCATCATGTGCACCTAAATTTCACAGTGATTTGTTGAATGCCACGATAGTTTGGTTCTGTGTGGCTGTGGTGCTGCACCGTCCCTTTATCATCGCTCCATCGCTCGGTCCGTCGCCGACTATGACATCGGTCT